CATTATCCCCCCCCCCCGTCTATCATTACAGCGCTGCTTGCAAAAGCTACTGAGTAACAATTGTTTGGGATGACTGATCTGCCCAAAATTGTAATCTATGCTAATAAAATCGTGTATGCAGCTTGTGAAATAGTGTAGATTAATCTGATTCTAAACATTATCTGATCAAGTATCCTGTAATTGCCCCGTCTCACATCCAGCTCGTCCTGGAATTCGTCAACGTTACACGTTCTCTGAGTTCATTTGGTGCTATCACAAATGTTCGTGGTTATACTTGACTACCTCAACTGGTTCTTCTAGCTATCCGCAATTTGATACCCAACTGTGACTCAGATCAAGTAATTGGTTATTTCCCAAAGTACCGAGCATGATCTTTTGAGCGTTTTTTTACTCTGGTTCTATTCAAAGGGTCACTGAGCCCCAAGTTACACTACACTTTCACCATCTTTTTTTATAAACCTGCGGTCAGAGAAGTGTTCTTCCGTATATACAACTGTTCTGTATCACTATTATTAGTGCTTAACATCATACGCGCGATTTCTCCTTAAGTTTGCATATTACACAGCAATAATGTTAACACTGGTTAAATCTACTCACTCAAAAACTCCCTTCTTTTTCTGAATATATCACCTGGTAGAAAAGCTTTCAAGGAATAAGTAGCCAACACATTATTGTGTCTGAATGACTGTTATGTATCATACTTTAGGCAATCTACTTACAAGTGGTACAGGTTTTGCAGATGAGAAAATGATCAATCAAAATTGTATGTCTTCTGTTGTCATGCTTTATCCTTTCCCTCGGCAAGGATAGAACAATACGGGGGACGGTCTGTACATGTAAACACAGTGTGTGTCTGGGGAGGAGAGACAATTCTTCGGTTGTTGAGGTGCCAGCTCCAATGCACTGCTATTTGCCAAGAACGTAAGGAGAGGATTATTCACTGTTTTGTGGCAATATCTTTCCTGGACGTGTTCGGGAGCCAGTCTTATTATGTGATGGACTGGCCAAATCAATGATATCTGTTTGCAACTCCGGTGAGGGTAAATTAGACGTTGTGGATGAAGTTGTGCTGAATATGTTGCCTACGGTGGGATTGGCGCGAAAACTGATAGAATCCGCGGTGGTGGTTGGAATCCATGGTGGGCTGATAGGGTTGGAGGTTAGGCCGGTGAGTATGGATGGTCGTAATGAACCGGAAGTTGTAGTCGAGTGTTTTTGCACCGAGCTGTTTGTGTCCATTGGTCTCGTTCGGAATCCGACTTCAGACAACAGTGAAGAAGACGTTTCTCCGTCAGATTCTGGCGCTGAAAGCGACTGTTTATCACCCAGTCCTGGGTGCCAGTTATTCAGGAGTGATTTGAAATACTGACTCACGTGTAACGGATTGAATAACCCGTTGGATACGATCGAATTATCAAAACCGGATGTCCGAGCATCTCTATCACCGCCAAAGTTGTAACCAGCGCGTGTGTGGCTTGTGGGATCCTTGAACGCGCTTGGTCCCATTCTGTTTGACCATGTGGCAG